AGAGGGCGCGGGCCTTGTCTATAGAGGTAAGGCTGGCGTCTTCTGAGAAGCAGCCTCCCCCTCAGAAGCCTTCCCTCCTCCCCTTACCTGCTTTTGTGCGCGCCGCCAATGTTCGCCGGAGTGACCTTCGATGCGGGCCCTATTTGGGATGTAGCAAGGGCACCAGGCAAGGGGATCCAGTTAGTGATTGGGCACCGAAGCTGGTGTCGCTAAGCCTGAGTCGCTAAACCAAGGTCTGCGGACCGTTGAGCACGATTCGACATAGCAGGGGCTGCCCGTCCGCAGCCCCGTACAGCCGCGCGCCAAAGATCGGCGGCGAGCGAGGGGGGGTGAGAAGGGGTGGGCCTTCTCAGAAGGCTCGGAAGTCCCCCGGCCTTCTGGGAAATGTTCTAAGACTGCCTCGAAGACACAGAGAAGTTCTCAGAAGGCGCGAGGGCTCCCGAGAAGCCCTGCCGCCTTCTGTGAGGTCCCTTTCCTTCTCGCTTCCCCCCCCTCCCTCACCGCCAAACGGATCACTCTTGCGTAGGGCCACTCGTGCGTGTGTAGCCGGTGGGCTCAGGGGGAGCTGCATCGCCCCGACAAGGCTTATGATGTTCCAGCCTACTTTAGCCTTGATCGCCAGATCGCATTTCGAGCACCAAAATAGCACCGAAACTCGAGGGTTTTCACGTGTCGGGCCCTGGGAGGCACTCGTCCGGCACCGTTTCGACACTCTTTCGACACTCTCTTTGCACTTTTTTCTGGGTGCTCGAAGTTTTTTCTTGGACGTGGTCCTTCAGTACGGCGCGAGCAACATAAGACAAGGCTTAAGTCGGGCATGTTCTTCTACAGGGGGAAGGTCCAAAAATAGTACAAAAAAACGTCGGGGGACTATTTGTTTGAGTATTTTGGGGCCATCTTGGAGCATTTTTTTGTATTTCTTATTATTCGTCGAAAATCCCCCTGTAGGGGGACACGCCCGACTTCAGACAAGGCTCCGGCCTGCGCACAGGCAGCCCCCTCGGGCAGCCCCGAGTGGCCTCCGCAGGCCCTGGGGCCTCCGCGGGCGCTCCGTGCAGCCCCCGGCGGGCCTCGGCGCGTCCCAGTCGATCGGCATCGAACCTGTCGCTTGTGCGGGGGCCCCAAAAACGGGGTGGTGACCACACCGCGGGATCTGGAGGGAACCGCCCAGGAGGAAGAGAGGCCAGTTTCGGTTCCGACTCCCGTTCGAGAGCCAGGGCCTCCCGTGCCCGAAGAGGTCGGGAGTCCAAGTCCAGAGCCTGCGCCAGAGGATCGAGATTCCACGGCTCGCCCGCTCTCCATCTCTAGCGGAAGCATGTCTCCCGGGATGGGATCAGTCAGATCTGAGGAAGAGGGGGTTCGAAGGATTCATGGCGTGCTCGAAGATTCCGAGCCGAGTCCAATCGCGCGACGAGGTGACGACCTTATCGAGCCCCCCCCCCCAGCTCAGAGGCCTAGGCTGACCCTGATAGAGGAGGCCCTGGAGGGCCCACGGGAGAGTTCAAGATGCCATTGTTGAACGAGAGGTGGTAGCCGCCAGATCCAGGCTGCTGGATGACGTACCGTTCTGTACTCGTAGCAGGGGCAACGCTTCTGCGTCAGACAGCTTAGGTCGAGCCCGGGTTGCAGCGCCAGTGGAGCGTGCCGATGTTGCCGAGCCAGCCAGGGATGGCTCTCGCTCGCCCCAGACGCGAGGCTCCAGGATGACGAACTGTTAACCTGCACTCTGAAATACATGGGGACGATCAGGACGAGCTTCTCTTGGCAGAACTCTGCTCCTGGTTTCACTTCGACGACGATTTTGGGGTCCCTCGGGCCGAAGGCACTTTCCTGGGCTCAACGCGCAAGGAAAAGGAGAAAAGGACCGCCATCGCGTCGGGGAGCTGAAGTTGCTTTAAAGTCTCTCTCCGAGGAAGAGAGACAGCTCTTTGTTTTTTTCGGACGCCAAATATTGGAAGGCCAATTATTGAGCCAGGCGCTGTGAGAATTGTGAGTGCCGCCGAGGCAGCGCCGGTGAGACGGAGGCTTCGGACAGGATTTCGAATGGCGAGGAGGTTCAAGCCGCAAGAAGGGGTGGGCTCCAGGGTCGCTGCGAAATCCAGATGGTGCGTTCTGGGGCACCACGATCCGGATCACGAGGATCTCCAGGTTTATTTCCCCACTCCACAGTCCGAGAGCATCATGGTGATTCTCCAAGCCATATGCTCACTCGGATGGGACCTCCAGATTGCGGACTGCAAGAATGTGTTTTGCCAGTCAGACCGTCTGCATCGGCCGAAGGGGTCTATCTTCTGTGATCCTTTCCAGGGTCTGAGCTTGGCCCCAGGTGAGCTCATCGAATTCTCCGCATTTCTGGCACCGAACGCTGACACAGCGGCTAGTTCAAGACGGTTTTACGAAGTCTCTTTTGGAACCCTGTCTACGAATAATAGGTCCAGTCCAGGGGAAAGTCGTGCTCTGACTTTGATCGAGGTGGGCGACCTCATCGTCGCGGCTGCTCCGAGTGAAAAGGATGGGCTCTGGGACCGCTCGCAGTCGCTACTCCCCCTATGGAAAATTGGAAACCGGGGAAGCCGATTTTGCGGGCCGTCACATATGCCAGACCGGGAGGGGGATCCTGGTCCACCAAGAAAAATACGATTGAGAACAATTGGTCCCCATGAGACTCGCTGAGGAACGGCAAGCTGACCCTGATGCGCTACTGGATGCTGAAGAGATCAGACACTATAGGACCATGATAGCACACATTCAGTGGCTCGGACGTGAGAGTCGACCTGATGTGGCCGCGGGTGCGTCATTACAAAATGCCGTTCGTCCTTCCCCAACGGTTGCTGATGCTACGCTATGCTTGAGGATCGTCCGACATTTGAAGAACACGGCCAGTCAGAGAATAGTTGTCTGGCCTATCGACCCTGCCGGCGTCACTTTTGCCGCCGTTTCGGGTCCTGGAGGCCCCAGTTCGGCTCGAAATGGCGCTCAGGGTGGGTGGATGGTGCTCGCCGCCGATGCGGCGATCAGGCAGAATAAGCGTGCTCGAGTTTCCCTCCTCAGCTGGTGTTCAACTCGACTGAAGCGTGTGAAAGCTTCGACAGGAGCTGCCGAGGCTTGGTCTCTTTCGGCTGCGTTGGCCGTAGTTCAGTGGATATCCGTTCTGTGGCGCGACGCCCTGTTCGGTGACGTGCGCCGACCAGACTGGCATCTGTCACAGGCCCCCTTCTCAGTTGTGCTAAGCGAAGACTGCACACTCTCGGAGGGAGTTTCATCCCTCTCTGTTGTCGATGGAAAGTCGATCTTCGATACGCTGTCTCGCAACTCGGCCGGGAGTCGCGCCGATCGTCGCAAAGCCATCGAATTGGCGGTCGTGCGTGACAGTTTGAGCACATTCGGGTCGCAGGTAAGATGGGTCCCGCACGGAAGGCTGGCGGCAGACTGTCTCACTAAGGCGGACCCCTCGAGAGGCAACCTCGCGGTGTGTGATATGTTGACTCAGGGGGCCATGATGTTAGTGGACGAGGATGGGCACATGTCAGAGAGGTTTTAAAACAATTCTCTCAAGTCCCGTTCCAGAAAAGCCTCCAAGGACGCCCTGGTTCGTGCCCAAGAAATCGATAGGTGCCCAGAGGCCCAAGACGGGGAGAGCATAATCTCGAATGTTGCTATGCCAGACCCACCTAAAGTTGTCCCGCTGATGTCGTTTCCCACTCCTTCTCCTCCCTCCATGTGTCTGCCGTAGCCCTTTCGGCTTTGCGTCAAAAACTGAACGATGACAGGAGTTTGGGCTTCTCCGAAGGGGCTCGCGAAGATAACAATACCCACCTCTCGTCCACTGTCCTGTTTCAGTTTTGTTCGCGACATAATCACCACATCCATTTGTGATCGCCATATTGTTGCTTACGTGGTCACTTTGTGATATCTTTGTTCAGCGGATTTCGCTTCGTGTGAATATTTTACAGCATTGTTGGCGCTACTGCTCCGGTTTGGCGAATATGTCCAGGCCGCCCGAATGTAATATCGCGCCAGGTTGTGTCTGGTTTGTGCAAATGTTGGACGGGTGGTACTGGGGGGGCCTACGCGTGGTGCGAGGAAAAGGGCCGTGAAGGAGCCCTTCTCTTCACGCCCCCTTGTCAGACCACCCCACCATTACCACCCGCCGGTTTGCATCATATGCTGCGCGGTGCGCCGTGGCTCAAGCACGCCTTGCGCGCTTGCGCGGGGTTCTGTGGCCAACCCAGGATAGCAGTCGCCGCCGCGAGTGTCACGCACTCGTTAGCAACGGGCCCGCCCGTGAACTTGACCATGGCATCTTCACGCTTGCTTAGAGGAGGAGGTGGTACAGATACCGCTGCGCTTCCCTCGTGGTCCCTCTTTGAAGCTTTTGGGAGGCCCTCGTCGCCACCGTTGGATTCGCGCCGAAATCCTGGCCAGCACGCGCCCCGGGAGAGGTTTTGGGAGCAGCGGTATCGGTACCCTTGGCTTCTCCATGTGGCCGCACGCGCGACAGTGCGCCCGAGGCCCCAGCCAGGCCCTGCTTCCACGGAGCCGAAGCCCCTCGGCGACGGCCGCCGACGGTCCTGGCCCAGCACTGACGTTTTGCCTGCCGCCCAGTGGACAACGGCTTGCTCATGTGCCCCTCCCCCCTCGCTCCCCTTGCCCATCCTCCACCTCCACGTCCACGTCATCGTCCGTCCTTCTCCTCAGCCCTTCTCCCTTCCCCCTCCCGCTCCTCCTCCTCCTCCTCCTCCTCTTCCTCCTCTTCCTCCTCTTCCTCCTCTTCCTCCTCCTCCTCCTCCTCCTCCTCCTCCTCCTCCTCACGACAACGCCGTCGAGAGCGGCGTCGACGCCGCCGCCGCAAACGACGCTGGCGGCGGCGACGCCGGACGACCACGACGACGACGACGAGGCTGGACGACCACACCACCAACGGACGACGCCGACCCCGCCAAGCCGAGCCGCCAGCGATCAGACCGACCCGCGCCCGGCGCGGACTCCGTCGGGAAGCCATGGCCGGGCCCACCTCGCCGCGCCGCGGAGGGCTCGGCGCCGCGGCGGCCGCGGCGGCCGCGGTGGCCGCGCCCTGCTCGGGGGGTGTTACCAGCCTCGAACATATCCCTATCCCTATGCTGGGCACCTTCTCATCACGATGCCAATCTTAGGGATTCCCTTATTTTTTGAGGGCGAATCCCTAAGATTGTCATCGCCTTTTGGCGTGTCAATCTTAGGGCCTAGGGATACGTTCGAGGCTGGTAAGGGTGGGTGGGCTTGGCATCGCCCGGACGTGTGCATTTTTCCTTCGGCGAGGACCATCGAGGAGCATCCTCGATTCTTTGGCGAAAAAAAAATCACGCACGAAGCCATAAAAAAGCACCGGGGAGTGGACGCCCGAGCGATGGCCAGTGGGTGGGGCGGCGGCGCGAGCGCGGACGCCCTGCTCTGGAAGTGTGGGGAGAGGTGCCCACTCGTAAGTCGGGCGTGTCCCTCCACGGGAGGAGCATTCAAAGATAGTCAAGAAACAGTCTGGGCACGTTTTTGTTTTGTTTTTGTTTAGACCAACAAGAGAAGTATGTTTGACATAGTTTTTGGGTGTGAGTTATGCGTATTTTATTATTCGCTCAAAAACCGCCTGTAGGAGGACACGCCCGACCTAAGCCTACTCCCCCTGTGCCTGTAAGGAGGAAGGGGCAAGAGTGCCCTCGGGAGCAGGTGTCGTTTCACAAGCCAGCGCAGGCTCGTGAGCACGGGTAGGAGTCGGAGTCAGGGTGGGATCGGAGGTCCTGAACCTGTGAAACTCGGGGTCACATCTCACTCCTTCTTGCTCTTCGCATGCGCGAAGTCAGGTGCTTCCATGAATTCATCACCAACTTCTCCGACGTAGAAATCTAGGAGTCCCTGCACCAAGTCGGGGTCCCATTCCTCGGCAACCACATCACAGTCGTTTACGTCGGCATACCGAGCTACGATATATTCCGAAAGAGCCCTTTCAATGTGTCCTACGTACACATGTTGTGTGGGTAGGTATTTGTCCTACTTGTTTTGAAGTTCCTTTTGGAGGTCTTGCCCTGGAGGACCTATGTGGGAGCCCTTGGGGCGAGCGCACTTCCCGCTGTTGCCGGCGCTGAGCAGACGAGCAGCGAAGGTTGGCAGTCTTAGGCCGATGAGCCGTGTGGGAGCCTTGCCGATCTCCCTCGGATCCAAAGTGTGGTGCACGCACTGGTCGAAATCGCCTGTGAGACACGCTGGACTGGAGCGGATTGCCTCAAGGGGCTCCCAGTAGAAGTTGCTTGGTTGCGGGAGAGGATGCTCCATGCGGGCGATTGTACCTGCCACCATGTGGTAGGCCATTCAATGTATGCATACTCCACAAGAGCTGGTTGCCAACGTCTAGCTGCAGTGACAGCCGGTCCGTTACTTGCGGGTTACCCAAGACCATTCGCTGGTGCGTAGCGGGGGGGGCGGCGCGTCAAGCCATCTGGCGGCGCTCCACGTCTCACATGGGGTCTCCCCCAGCATCCCAAACTCGTCGTGCAAGTATGTGTTCCCCCCATGTCTCAATTGTGACCTTCTGTGTCAGATCCCCAAGGTCACTGGTGGTGGCGACGTCGACACTTAGCATCACAACTTGAAAGATAGCTGAAGATTCTGCTGGAGAAATTGTTCAGCACAACAACTGTGGCTCTGTGTATCCTACGTGGCACAGAATCAGCGGCGAAGCCTTCGTAGTTCTGGGAGCGGTACTTCCAAGGTCTGCAAATTGTGGGCCTGCTTGTGTTGGCGGGGCGTCGGGATGCTTGAAGAGCTCCTTGTATTTACGTAGGGCCTCTGGAGACATCTCGTAGCAAGCCTCGGGGGTCTGTAGGAAATCCTTCGCATCCTGCTATGTGAAAAGAGCTGTGACTGGCATTGCCGATGTGTACAGTCCGTCGGGTGGGTACTATTCTCTTGCCAGGTAGGCCGATCGCCATTTGCCCATTCCTGCCTTCTTCTGCCTGGCCAGGTCATCTGTCTCCCGGAGTCGGAGTTCCTCGGCACGCTCTGGGCTGAAGACGGCACCGTGGATATAGGCAAGGCAGCGTTGAGAAGCATCGAAGGATAGGTGATCCCTCAGAGATCTCCTGCTGGCGAAGGCAACTGTGCAAGCCATAAGCCGTGCAAGTGGCCCCTTCCCCCATGAATCGGGACATATTGTTGACCTGGCTGTACGCACACTGTGCTGCCTGCTGTTCTTGCTAGATGTGCCTTGATTCCCGCACCACATGCATTGTAGCCCTGGAGTCGGGGCTGGGGTCGGATACAGTTGGTGCCCTGGGTTCGCGATCGGAAACGGGACTCCTGCCAGCCTTACCATGTCGAAACATTGACTAGAGGCGTGCTTGGCCATTGCTGCTAGCTTGAGAGGTTTTGCCCCAGCTCTCATGGCGAAACTGAGTCCGCGTCGCCTCGATCGGCAATGAGCACAACATGTGATGCTCCCACGCTAAGAAATCCTCCCGTGGGTCTGGTAGCCGTCTGAAAGCCACATGCACACTGCGTAGCCATGTCAGGCCGTCGATGTTTCGATGCACCCATGAGGTGCCATGTCGTGCCACCGCCGTGCGATAAACATGTGCGACCAGACTGCGCAGCGGGGGTGTGCCGTGGTGAAGCAAGCGCCCGAGCAGGTGTGAGGGCGGAGGAGTGATGTGCCGATTTTCCAACATCAGTGCTATCGACAGGAAAGGGAGGAGGAGTAGGAGGGGGAGGAACTCCCAATCCTCCCGTCTCCCCCGTCATATCTGACATCCTACCTCTCCCAGCCATCCCTTCCCGTGTCGCCGATGTATACATATAACGGCGCACTGGGGCTTGGAGCCGAGGGCCGGAACTTCGACCGCAAATGTAGGCACCAGGGCCCGGGCCCGCCTCTGGGAGGCGTAAAATCGCCCCGGGGAGCCCTCAGACAGCAATCCCGTCGGCCCCAGGCGGTCTCGAGACACCCCCAAGACGCCGTCCAGGGGTCTCTGGCGACGCACGATGCGTTTTAAACTGCCCCGGAGGCCCCTAAGACGCCCCAAGACGCCTTTAAGATGCCGCCCAAGAGCGCCGCGAGAGGGCAAAATCGTTGATCTTCATGTTTATATATAAATATAACAAAAAAAGAGCACCGCCCAAGAGGCTCCCCAAACCGCTCCAAGACGGCCCACGAGGCCCCCAAGACGGCCCAAGTGAGCCCCGAGACGGCCCCAGAGCCGCTCAAGAGGGTCCCAAGAAGGCCCCAAGATCTTGGCCTAAGGGAGGGAACGCGAAATGAAAGATCAAGCTCTCCGCTTCAAGATGCCCCCAAGAGGCCCCAAGAGGCCCTCAGGAAGCCCCCAAGAGGCCCCAGGCCCCCAAGAGGCCCCAAGAGCCCACCAAGAAGCCCAAAGGAGGCTCCAAGAGGCCCCAAGACGGCACCCAAAAGGCTTCAAAGTTCTTTCTAAGAGGCCCCCGAAGACATGCGAAGAAGGTCCCATGACGACGTCAAGAAGCAGTCCAGGATGCTCCGAGACGGCCCCAAGAAGCTAGCTAGAACTTCAGCGCGCGCGAAGCGCGCGCGATGTTTCTAGTTGTATCTATTGGCGGACGCGTGTCATAGCGGGCCAGGAACTCCAAGCAGGACCCTTTATCATGTTATACGCAATCGGGAAAAGGGAATCGCGTACATCGGAGGAGGAGGTGGCGGAAGAGCATGAGGACGAGCAGGAGGACACGGGAGCACGAGGGAGGAGGAGGACGAGGACGAGCGGCAGCAGCAGGAGCTCGGGCGCAGGGAGGAGGAGGAGGAGGAGGAGGAGGAGGAGGAGGAGGAGGAGGAGGAGGAGGAGGAGGAGGAGGAGGGCCAGGGGAGGGCGGAGGAGGGGAGGTGGCGGTGGCGACAGCGCTGACAAGAGACTCAGGATCCAGAGGCGCGGCCCGCGCCGGGCCGAGAGCGCCACTCGGAACGGCGGGGGGAAGGCGCCGATCCTCAAGTGGCTTGGCATCGCTCGGGCGTGTGCGTTTTTTCTTCGGCGAGGACCATCGAGGAGCGTCCTCGATCGTTCGGCGCAGAAGCCACGCACGAAGCCGAACAAACGCACACAGGGAATGGGCGTCCGAGCGAGGGCGAGAGTGGGGCCCTCGCTGCGGCGGCTGCGTCCGAAGCGCCGGAAACAAGAAGCCGCCTCTCCCCAATGCATGATAGTTTTTTCTGATTCGTGGGGCTGCCGATCGTTGCGGGCCCTCGCCCCCTCCCCCCCCCACGGAGTGGATCTTGCTTTGTGGCGCGTGCTTCAAGCAGGTGGGGCAAGCACGGAAGCCCCGTTCCCCTCCCCCCTTTGGTGGACACACGAATCGCTGTTTCGCACACCTTTGTTGCTGTGTGTTTTCGGGGCGGCCCTCGGGGAAAGAAGAGGGGCCCCAAGGCGCGGGATACGGTTTGGGCTCTAAACATTGAAAGCACATACCCCCAGGAGTAGCCAGTTGTGGTGGGATCTTCTGACATCCCAAATCCTGAATGTTCCAATCGGATTACACATGCATTCCAGAAATCTTCCCCATATGATTTCCCCATGGGCTTCGTAATGGGACTCCCCCACTAGGTTCCGCTCACAGGATTCCCCCATACGATTTCCTCATCGGGCTCACGCATATGATTCCCACATATGACTCCCACATATGATTCCCCCCCGTTGGGGTTCCCTACAGGATTCCCCGAGAGGTGTCCGTCCATGGGGCTCCTCGCTATGTTGCCCCCGTAACGTTTCCCCAAGAAGGCTTCCCCATCGGACTCCCCCATCATATTCCCCATATGACTCACACGTAGGACTCCTGCATCAGATTTCTCCACTTGATTACCACATGGGGCCCCCCCTCTCTCCAGAACTGTCAGCGGCACTGCTTCAAGCAGTCGCATTCAGTAGAGGTCTGGAGCTTCTCCCCCTTCCCCCCCCTGTCGCCCAATGTCGGCACGCCGAACAGGAAAACGTTCACTAGTGGGCAGGACGAGAAGAAGGATGAGAAAAGGAAGCGGATGAGGAGGAGGAGGTGGAGGAGGAGGAGGAGGATGAGAAAA